AGGATCAACACCATAAGATGCCAGGCACGGTGAAGGACGCGGCGAGGCACCTGGGGCCACGCGCAACGGCGACGCAGAGCTGCCACCACGAGCTGCAGAAGAGAGCCCAGGCGATGAAGAAGAGCTACTACGAGTGCGGCGGTTTCTGGACGAAGAAGAATACCCCCAACCGATGGACGCGGGCAGTACTGCATTGCATGTCATCAACACGGGACTGCCTTGCATCGAGTGTTTCCTGCCGACGCCCAACGAGTGCGCCGCGCTGCAGAGCGCTGCGGGCGCGCTATTGCCTCGAGCCATGATGGGGCGAGCGACGACTTACAGGCTCGATGGGTCCATCCGCAGCATGGCGACGCCCGAGGCTTTCGCATCTGGCGAATGCTGCCGCCAGCGGGAGAAGAACTGGCCCGCAGACTTGGCCAGGCAAAGCATGTCCTCCGTTCCCCGAACAACCGCCGCCAACTCATCGCCGCCATGTTCGGGCGCCTCGGATTCGAGAACGCCGAGGCCGAACGGGGCCGCATTTCGTCCTATTCGATTCGAAAAGAAAGCGCTGAGGCCGAGAACGACGAGGGCCCCTCGATGGCGGACACGAACCCTTGGGCCCGACGATTCGTAGAGGACGTCCAGAAAGTTTGCCGGGCCTCGGAGACCTTCCGAGACATCTTCGGGGGCATGTCCCGATCGGAAAAATGCTCGCGCTCGAAATACGGGAACAACTACACCTACTAGACGCTAGGCAAGTACAAGCAGCAAAACTCACCTATTCAGTTCCTCCTCCCGGACAGGCCCAAAACGACGAAGAGCGAAAATAAATAACTCTGCGAGACCTCCAGCCCTGGAAAGGCAAACTACGAGAAAACGGCGGCGAATGTGCTTTTATTGCTTGCCAGCAAGAAAGCGGCGCATGGCCGCGTCATCAGGTCGCACCGCGCGCATAACCTCGCGGCCCTCCGTACCACGAACAGCCAGTGCATCAATTGCCTTCAGACATTCACGAGCCGAGGAACCGCGTGGAAACGCCTGGCCAGGGGCGCGTTGAGTGGAAGCTGCAACCCTGACAGAACACAGAACCAATGCGAAGCGACAACCCCTGGAAAGACTTGCCCTCCCCGTAGCCATCTAGCTTTGGATCGGGGGACCTACTCTCAGCACTTGAGGACGCGCCCCCCGAGACAGATACTCCGACCACGCGACAGAGATGGCCCTATTCGATCTGCGCCCGCAGCGGGCGCCAGCCGCACCAGCGCCAGGAGGCCCACCACGATCACATCGCAGCCCGCAGCCGAGGGGGCCGCAAGCTGGGGGGGGCGCAGCGGGAGCAGCAGGAGGAGAGCAGCCAGCCAACGCGCGGGCGGTGGATCTCACAGCCAGGCTGGCCCGCACACTGGCGCGAGAAAAAGCAGAACTCGCCTCCGCGGCGCTTCAGACTTGGGAGATCGACGCCAACGACGCGGCCCAGGGCTTGCGCAGGAGGGCAACCAACGGGGAGAACGTGGACACCGCATCGTTGGGCAGCCCGCACGTGAAGATCTGGACAGAGGTGTTCATATACCTGGGGCGCGCGCGCGCGAGGCAGGAGCCGAACGAGACCCACTGGAGAAGTACTACACGGATTGCGCATTGAATGACAGCGCGGAGAGATCCCGCGTTCCGCGCCAGACGCAACAAGGGGAAGGAGGGCGGCAACGGGGCGCAGGAGAAGTGCAGGTTCCAGTCTCAGATGCATCACACGCACCATCAGCTGGTGACGTTGGCAGTCAAGCAGCCCAAGAGGGAAGGGGCGATCAGGATGGCGGGGGCAACGCCGCGCGGGGCCATCGAGAGGAGCCGGGGAGACTCATCAACGGGGCGTGAGCAATACGGCAGGGAGTGGCCGACTGGACACCGATCAGTCGTGTGCGACGCCAGTAGGGTGCAGCTTCCAACGGTGACCGACTGGACACATATCAGTTTTGTGCGACGCCAGCTGGTGCAGCTTCAGATCGTGGCCGATGGGACAAAGATCAGTTTTGCGCGACACCAGCGGGCGCCCTGCAGCAGGAGACAAGAACGCAAGGGCCAGGGAAGGGCCACACTGAGGGCGAGGCCGAAGGCCGAAGGCCATGAGAGCGGCCGCAAGCATTCTGTGCAGCTGCGCTCTGCCGACGCTGCTCCCGTCGCAGTGCCTCTGCTTTTTTTCCGAACCGGCGAGCGATTCCGACACAGGGAAGTGGTTCCTCCTCCGCCGCCCACCGAGGCTCTTCCCCTCTTCCAACTCCATGAGCCACGCCCCCCTTAGTATTATTTAGTGCACCGACCTCCCCCCCCCCCGAACCCAAACGAAAAGGCAAGGGCCGATGGGGGGAAGGGAACGGGTAGGGTGGAGAGCGCGAGGGGTCACCCGTAAACGCGGGTGCTATCCTGCCCGCGGACCCCTGCGTGGGGAGGTCGGCGCATGCAGGGCCCGAGCACCCCGTGGCGCCAGCGTCCCCGTTTCCAGAAAGTGACCACAGCTAGG